GGGGGGCGTGTGTTGGTTTGTGCGCACGCGTGTGTGTGGCTATTGTATCTATAGTGATATCTGTGTATGTACATCTAAATATAGAGCTATACACAGATAGCTTTGTAAATAATAGCTACATATATCCGCATGTATAAATGTATAGTACATAATGTATAGTACATAAATGCACTATCTATATATTTTATATAATTATTATATGCATATAAATATTTTATATACTTAATATGTGTGTATAACATTTATAAAAGAATATTACATATTTTATTAATATCTATTTGAAATATATAAATATATACTATATTATATACTATATGCACATATAAGTAACCCTATACAGCTACGCTCACTTTTATATATTACAGTATTACAATAAATGTTAGTTATGCCTATGTATAAAATATAACTTTTAAATCTCTCCTCTACATAATAAATATAGGTATGCAGTTATATATAAATACATGCATTCTCATAGATGATATATTTATGCATGTGTGTATAAAACTATGTATCTTTATATAGACAGCTATATACATACATAGATATATGCATTTGTATATATACAGGCACTCTGTATATAAGATGATATATATAAAAACGTATAGAGACGTGTGTATAAAATATTTATATTCTATATATGCTATATAAAATATAGCATGCATATATCAAATATTAGGTATAAATATGTGTGAATGTCTATTATATATAGGTACAGATAGAGGTAGCTATATTTAAAGGCACACACATGAAAGCATGTATCTATACAAGCACTCTTTAAAAAATACAATTTATAAAAGTTAAAAAATATAAATTACATATTACATATTGTCTATACTTCATAAATGCATATCTATTACTTTTATTATTCAATATGCATATATATGTATAAAATATTTTTATTTAATATATTATGTAAGTATGTACTGCATCCATGCCACGTACGTTGTACTAGGCACAGTTACAGGGAGGGTGCTCGCTCACGCTGTCTCGCGTGCAGCCACGTGTGAATGAATAGGGCTATACACACAATAATTCTTCTATAAAATAGTATAAATACGTATTTAATATAGTTTATATTTATTGTTAAAATATATTAATTGCTATATTAATAATGTTGATATATTTAATACATGTTTATCAAGTGTATTTAGAGCCAGTGCAGCCAAAACAGGCTGGGGCCAGCGCGTGGCTTTCGGCAGTGGCCAGCGTGGCCTCCCCGGGAGCTCAGGGTGGCCACTGGGGTTTGCCCTTGGCTCCATTCCCTGCGCTCACCCCAGCCAGGGGCAGCTGCTGCCCCCACCCCAGCACCCCCGGGGCTGCGCAGCTGAGGCCTCGCCAGCACTGGGAGGAGTTGGGTCCTGGCTCCCAGCACAGGCCCATGGAGCCATTTCTGAGCCCCCAGAAAACCCACGGCGTGGGGACAACCGGGCCAGTCCCGGGCACCCAGGCTGGGCAGGGTGACGCTTACGGGGGAAGGCAGGTGGGAAGCACAAGGAAAAAACCCAATCTATTTACTCAATTAAATGATGCACCGTTCAGCCATCGGATTTTTTTTTAAGTCGCTCTTTATCCCCTCCAGAATAAAGAGCTGATTATAAAAAGGGAGGGCGGGAGGACAAACCCTTCAGATTAAAAAAAAGCTTAAGGTAGTTTAATGCAAAGCTCCTCTAGGGCGCATCGGGCCCTCCTGCTTTATAAGAGGCTTTGCTTTTGGGGAGGGTCACCTGCACCGGCTCCACCAGCACTGGCGCTCCAGAAGACCGATGGACTCCTCCGACCACTCGCAGGAGCCCCCAAATAACAGGACCCCAGGGCCTTTTGATGGCCCCCAGTGGCCCCACCAGGCCCCGCGGACCATGTACCTGTCAGTGGCCGTGCTGATGGGCATCGTGGTGGTCTCCGCCTCGGTTGTGAACGGCTTGGTCATCGTGGTTTCCATCAGGTACAAGAAGCTCCGATCGCCCCTAAACTACATCCTGGTGAACCTGGCTGTGGCTGACCTGCTGGTGACGCTCTGCGGCAGCTCCGTCAGCTTCTCCAACAACATCAACGGCTTCTTCGTGTTCGGCAAACAGCTGTGCGAGCTGGAGGGCTTCATGGTCTCCCTGACAG